GTATGGACGAGCCATGGCTGGGCTGAAACATCCAACAGTAAAAACCAGATTGGATTGAAGGCCAGTCAGGAAAAGTCACTGTTCCTGCTAGGACAGGAGGTGAACTGAGTAGGGTTGGCTCATGGACCCCCTGGTGTGCGTGAAATCTGGCACTGGGAGAGGTTCTGATGGAGGAGCCTGGGCAACTCCTCTGGCAGGACACAGTCCCTGCAGGTAAGCACAAGAAGCATGATAGGAAACAGCCCAGAACAGGCCAGGTGAAGTTTCCCACTGGCACACATCTGGCATGGGTCAAGGGCAGACCAGGCTGAACCAGATCACATCACCCACAGACAAACCCGAGCATCAGAACAGAGTGTGGGTTGAGCCAGATTCAGTTGCGACACAAACCAGTGCACATTATGGAATGCCAAGGTGAAGTGACCTGTACTGGATGTGACTACAGTACCCAACAGCACACGTGAGAACCAGGGAGGGAAGGGGCGGAGTCAGCAGGGGGAATATGGGGGTGTTCCCCTGCTGGTCAGCTACTCCCATTGGAGAGCATGAGCTAGGATGGGGGCAGACCAGACTAGACAGGGCTGCAACACCTGTGGGCCTCATGTGGACTAGATCAGGGGAAAGCCAGGTTGGGCTGATTGTTCCTCCTGGTGCAAACAAAAATTAGAGTGGGTGATGGTTGGTTGGGCTTAGCCACAGTATCAGCTGGCAGAAGCTGCCACTGGGGGCTAATTCTGTCAAATTACACTGCAGAACCACCTGGAGAGTGTATAATCTGGGAGTGAGAGTGGCTTAGAACGGAAATAGTGGGCTCCTTCCTCTTGGGTTACCACTCCCACTGGAGAGCACGAAACCTAGGACAGAGGCTGGGGTGTCTAGACAAAGGCATCCAACAGCATGTGTGTGGGCTGGATAGTCGGGCTAGTTGGGTTGAACTAAGCTTCAATGCCCACTGACATGTATGAGAGCTGAATGGGATGTGGGACAAACTGGACTAGTCTGCTACACATAATGGCAAGCATGGGAACCAGCGAGGGGTCAAGCCTGTTGGGGTTAACAGGGAGTCACCCTCACTAGGCTGCAGCTCCTACTGGTTTGCACGAAGGCAAAGTGTGAAGTGGGCAGGATCGGGCTGGACTGCAACACCCATTGGTTCCAGTGGAAGACAGGGCTGGCAACAGACCCAACCCAGCAATTGCAACCACCAGCTGATTGGGGTGATGGACTGTACCCAGCCCTGTACTTGCAAGTACACATAAGAATCTGGTCTGGGAATACCTTAAAATTTCTTTGAGGATCTCCCCAATCGAACTGCCAGACTCAGAACCCTAACCATGAAAAGAGGACAGAACAAATCAGTCAACTACCTCAGCCATATGCTGGCAATGAAAAACTGGGCAAACGGAGACTCTAATATGGACTATGCCAGAGGATTCCTCCGAGACCTCATCTTGCTTGGAATGGCGAGATTGGCAGCAACTCATAACCGTTGAACTATCAAAACCACTTGAGCAAGTCCCTCGGAGCATGCTCCACATTGGGGACCTGGGGTGGGTGGGAGACTGGGTGGGGCTTCTTCCTTTATCTCCCCCTTTACCCCAAATACATGACAAAAACAATGTAGAAATAATAGTCTTACCCACTTAAACTGCTTCCTGCAATGTTGCTAATGCCATGCTGGCACCAGTTTTGAGTCCCAGCTGCTCCACTTCCTATCTGCCTTCCTGCTAATGTTTGTAACAAAGCAGTGGGGGACGGCCCAAGTCTTTAAGCCTCTCCACGCAGGTGGAATTACCAGAAGCTCCTAGCCTCGGACTGGCTCAGTTCCATCTGTTGCAACCATTTGGGGAGTGAACCAACAGACAGAAAATCTCTGTAACTGTCTTTCAAATGAATAGATAAATTTTGAAAAAACAAAGTACAACTGTTTATTGTACACCACAACTCATAGAAGGCCTGTGGCAACACACATTCCTGGAGTCTGCCCAGTGTGTATGATTCTGCTGGCCCAGCTATAAGTTCCCTGGAGGCACTGCAATTATGTACCCAGAAACCACTCCACGAGAACCTGTATGAAGGTCCAGTGTGCCAAAAAGCCCCAGGTGTCTGCCAGCTGCAAGCCTTTCATATTTTGCTAGTGTCCGCTGCCTTGGTTTTCCATCTCGACTGCATTTTAGAGGCACAGAGGAATATTTTGAATGAAAAATATGAAGTCGGGTTCCTGGAGGTGGTGTCCAACGTGACAATAGTTTAAAAACTTCCCCAAGTGATCCTAAGGTCAACTAGTAGAGACTCGCTACTCTAGAAGATAAGCCACTTAACTTCTCAAACACTAGGTAGTCCCTCAAACCCTGGACAGAGGGTGATGCAGGCAACTTCTGGGGCATTGTTGCAGAATATACACAGCAACTTAGACTCAACTAACCTGCAGCTGTATCTTCTGTGAATCTAGATCTTCTTGCCTTAGAGAAAAGTAACCGTAAAAAACTGAATTCATGCTTCAATTCACGCTGGGAGAGAAGTGTCATTTCATAAAGGTTTACTGGAGTGGTATTAGGAGAACTAAAGAAAGAAAAACACAGGCTCTTTTCCTTGGTACTGGGACTCTTACCAGTTCAGCTATGGGATTGCCTTTTTAAAAAAAGACTTGATTCATGCATAAAAAGCAAAGTGAGAGCACCTCACTCTGCTGGGTCACTCTCTGAATCACCACAGTGACCTGAGCATGGACAGGGCAGAGCCAGGAGCTTCGTTCAGGTTTCCTACGTGGACGGCAGGGACCTGAGGACTTGGGCCATCTCGTCCTGCTATCCCAGGCATATTAGCAGGGAGCTGGAGGTGATGTGTCAGGGTTGGGACTTGAGCCTGCTGCTCCTATGGGATGCCAGCATCACAAGTGGTGGTTGAACTAGTTGCACCACGACACAAGTTCCGGGTGTTATGGTGCCTGACTGAAAATAGCCTGCCACTTTCATCAACGAAATCATTTTACTTTTCTTAAAAAACTTTAGGTTTAATTAAATAGAAGTCATTTAAGGGGGCCAATGCAGTTGGCATTGCAGGCTAACCCTCCACCTGTGGCACTGGTATCTTATTTAGGGGGTCAGTTCAAGTTCCAGCTGCTATACCTCCTATTTAGTTCCCTGCTAATGGCCTGGGAAAGCAACAGAGGGTGGCTACAGGGCTATTCCTGCCCTAATTTGGAGACCTAGAAGCTCCTTGCTTCTGACCAGCCCAGGTTCAGCCAACATGGCCACTTGGACATGGATAGCAGATTAATTTTCTTTCCTTCTGTAACTCTTTGAAGTAAGATCTTTCTGCATCAACTAGAATAATGATTTACTCATGTACCTCTGGGTTCTTTATGTCCCTGTCCAAGACTTGTGCTGACTTGTCCTATCACATTTCCAAGCAGGTGGTAAGTTATTTAGATGTCAAAGGTTAGTTGCCTTTATAAAGCTTACCAATCGCTGGGAGAGGTCAGACTCTTAAGTGCCTGAGCACCTGGCTGGCCTTAGCCCTTGGCAATGCGGAGCACTGAAACCTTCTAAGCAAGGTACGATTTCAAACGCAATTTCTGTGACAACATGGAGAGTGCATTCAAAGGCATAACCTTGCAGTAAGAAGAGGGCGGTGTTACACAGCAAGTTAAGCTGCTGCCTGTGACTGCCTGTGATCCCCCATGGCTGTGCCCACGAGATCCCTGGTTTCAGCTTGGCCTAATCCCAACCACGACAGCCAATTGTGCAGTGATCCAGTCAGTGTATGAAAGATGTAGCTCTGCCTTTCAAACAAAATTAAAACAAGAGTTGGGTAGTTGCAGGCACAAAAACCCAGCTGGGTTGGAGGGAGAACTAAGGAGTTAAGGTGACTATGCAGAGAGGGGAGAAAGAGGGAATGACTTGGATTAGTCTTGCGCATTATGTGTTTGGGAAGGAAGAAAAGGCTTTGAAGGGGCATAGGATACATTTGAGTAAGGTGATGGTTTGCGATTCTTGTGAACAAACAAGGTAGGGTGATGGAAAAAGTGGATTATATAGATCAAGAACTAAGGCTAACCCTGAGTTAGAGAGAGGGACTTGGGAGCTGCCTGTGTAAACACGGAGGGCCATGGAGCTAAAACTTGGGAAGGACTAGAGGTCACCTGCTCTATTTAGCTACTGTAATACAACTAAGTCAACAATGTGAAAAGGGGTGGGGGGAAGCCCTGTTTCTGATGCTGTGGGCTCCGGAGCCCACCTACGGATAGGGTCTTTTATCAGACTCTAGTACACAGCAGCTCTGGAAAGTCAAGATCAAAAAAAAAAAAAAAGAGGCAGGCAAGGGGGGAGCAGGGCCTTGGGTGCCTGGGGGATATCGCCTTGCCTCGTTGGGAATGAAAAATACTGCATGCTTTCCAACAGATCATATGATTCATAAAACCCAAGAATACTCTAAAAGTTACAAATCACTTAAGTTTTGATCTTGCAGTCTATTCCCTAGATTTGGATTTTTTTAAAAAATTGATCACTGTTTGCTGTAAAGATCTACAATGCTTCTTGATGCTTGAAAGTAAGGAATGAGCTGACTGGGATCAGAGAGCTGAGGTTGTATAGCCAGAGGAATGTGGTGCTGATCCTGAGCTCTGCAGGAGTCTGTAGTTTTCATCCTGAGAGAACAGGGTAACTTTAAAAAGTACTTAAATGTTACTTTTTTGAGGTAAAAACTATGAGGTGATCTCCAAACGTGTTTAAGCTGTGGTCAGTTTATGCTAAGGTAGCAACCCTCCAGTTGACTGGCAGGTGCCACACTGAAAAGTTTGGAAGTATCAAAATTAACAATAAGCTTATTTTCATAAGAGTTTCTGAAATTCACACGTTTTCTTGATATTCTGTGAACTCGTGAAGGCCCCTTGTGTTCCCCATTATTCACTTTCAAAGAAACAAAGCCACAAGAAAAAATATGCCAGGTGAATAAGAGTTCCTGGAAGAAAATAATTACTTCATCACACAAAGTCTTTACAACATTATATTTCATAAAAGACAATGATAAAAAAGTACAAACATCTCCATGAGAAGCAAAAAAAATATGAGTACAAGAAATTACTAGCATTTATTTCAGTGCATGTATGTAGAAGTCTTTCATATTTTAATAAATAAAATCTTAAGTACAACTCCTCTTTCTGATAAACGCTATGACCATTTTAGTTCTCTCAACTGGCATATTTGCAAATCCAAGGCAATAAATCTAGAGTATTTATCTGAAAAGTACAGAAACGTAACAGGCAAGCAAAGGTAAAATGAGACAAAAATCTGCTTTCACTTTAAGGAAGCCTCCAAAAGGAGACACTGTATCGGATATTTTCCCATTTTGTATTAAAATATCAGTATCTTGGCTGGGAAAGGTTTTAATACATAGTTTTGTCTTTAAATAATATGGTAAAGATTTCATACAAACAACCTCTTCACAATATACAAACTTAAATTTTACTAATCGATACATCCTAGCCTTAAGACTCAAATGACTCCCTCCACTATGCATCAGAAACAACCTACAGCTAACGTATGCACTCCCCCCTCCCTTCTTGTACTAACAGACCCATCAACCATTATGTCCCTAGCTGAAAGGCACTACATAACTTTCCTCATAGTGCCACAAGGACCTAATAGCTCTAAGTCACCACATAATAGGTTTCTTGACCTTGACACTAGGAAATATAACATGTTATCAGATATCTTTATAATTGCAGAAGGGTCTCGCTTAGCTTCTTCAGAAATGAAAAACATACCTGGCACTTCACCTGACAATAGACGATCAATATTATCAAATCCATTCTTTGTACTTATAATGCATTTGTTACTCTTTTTGGAATAGATTTACTGTATACAATGAAGACAGCTGGGTAAAGCTTTGTCGCTCTTAACGGAAACATGTGAAGGTCACTCTACACAAAACTTTCAAGTTTGCACTTAAAGTAAATCAAACACAAAGCAAACTGGTGAGGTGGTTTTCACAGGATAGATTCTATTAAACAGAAAAATACTGATGTCCCATTCTGAAAGATGTCATTAACCCTCCTCCCCCCCCCCAAGAAAATAAGGCAAACACTAATGGTGTTTTCCTGGCACTGCAAAATGCATAATAAAATTAAAAATACCAAAAGTGCACAGCTCCTCCTGACAGGGAGAGAGTGTACTTCCCTATGAGGATTCGGAAGAGTCTGGGTCTGGCCCCATGGAGACCTTGGCAGTCCCACCGGGTCATTCTGCTCCTATGCCCCGACTGTCTTGGCAGTGGTCAACAAGCGCTAACACTCCCATTTTTTCTCACCAAATTACACTACATGTGATGAGACAGAAAACGGACACACAAATTAAATGCTGGTATCTTAATTTTGAGAAGGTTTGATTTTTTCACTAAAATTTGAACATGAACAGAGGTTATTAGTTTTCTGAAAGAATAGGAATTTCCACATATTATTTGGTTTGTGGTAATTTCTTACAACTGCCATAGAAAATGATTATTATATTTGCCTCATGTTGCAGTTTTAAGTTTTTAGTTTAATTACTCAAGAGGCAAATGTTATCCAAAACAGCTCATACAGATTTCTATTTTTCATTATTGCTGATTCACTTCAGATACAATTTGAAATATATATTTCAAATATTAACTTTGAAGTGTTTGGTTTTGTCATGGAAAGCATCTGATACCAAGAATGTCACATGACCAGACTTGTTTTCTGAAGTGCTGAGTGCACTTCAGTAACTTCAAGTGTTTTAAGATAGTATATTTTAGCGAGGACAGTTCAATAACATCAGATCTTAAAAGTGAAATTTTTTTCGTAATTTGAAAACTGGTTGACATTTAAAGGTTCTTTCCAAAAGCGAAATTCTGTAAATTGGATAATTAAATGCCTAGCGAGAACAAATTTTATCTTCTTAAAACTGAGCATTTCTTATCTAATAGTGTTTGAATATTGTTAAATATGGAGTTTCCCCTAGTTCGATCTTAAACAACAACAAAAAGCTAAGAAGTTTTTGGCTTTTGAACTAAAAATGGTAAGTGTTCACTATGAATTGAAAAAAATATATACAAACATGACCTTGGGAACACCTGGTTCGAGGCACAAAATCCCTGATGTAAAACCAGAGGTACAGGAGACATTTAACACAGAGGTCCTTTATATCAGGTCACATCACAACTTTTAGGATTTTCTTGGTAATACTCATGCATAAATGATATGATTGTGATTCAGCAAAATCTGATGGGATTGCAAGCAAGGAAAATAAAAAAATAGGTAATCCTGGTAGGATTAAAAGCTGGTAGGAAGAAAAGCTTTTTAAGTCTTTTCTTCTTTCCCTTTAAAGCCCTAAGAAAGCGTGACTTCTCTGAAGGTCTAAAGCTCCAAACTAGTTGAACAGTTTACTATATTAGCTGGTTGTCAGTTATTGACAGTTCCTTCATTTCACACAAGGGTTAACCTCTGTTGAGTGACATAAATTTAGTGGTCTTCTTCATGCAATTAAAAAAAAAAATCTATAAAAGTCCAATAAAGGCATAGCTGATTACATGCAAAACTGCAACACATTTTTCAACAACAATCTGAACACTAATTTACATCACATATGTACAAAATGTTTAAACGGAAATAAAAGCATTCTCTTAAATTATAGATTTCAGTATAAAAATGTTCTTTGTAGGGAGCTCTCAACTTCCGATCTTAAGCAAAGGCTTCTGGGTTTGCAGTGCTCACCATGGGGGTATGCCCCGGGGAGGAAGGAGGGCGACTGGATCCAGGTGCAGGCTGTTAAGTGCCAGGAGGACCGCGGCTCTTGTCCCTCGTCCGAGGACAGGGTGCTGACACGTGCACCCCGAGAAAGTGCACAGCACACTCAGGTTCCAGCAGTGTGTTCTGGCTGGCCAGGAGGGCAACGCTTTCTAATAGTCTTCGATTGGTGCTAACTCTGGCATGAGGTTTACAGATATATTCGTATACAATCTGTCAACCAGAATTGTTGGCGAATATATTAAATTGTTCAGCCCATCGATGTACTGGCGCTCTTTAGAATATCTTAGTAACTTATACCTGTAGCATTAGAGGAAAGACAAGAAACATGTTCAAAATGGATGCGTTCTATGTCATCTTACAATGAAGGCAGTTAAAGCTCTCTGCCATTTGTGGCTCTCAGTCATAAATCTTTTGAATTATGACTCTGAGTTAGTGACCGGTCAAAAGCTGTCACATGAAATTTTGCATTCTAACTTCTACCTCCCTTAAGAAATAACTACCTTCTGCAATCAAATGATCCCAATGAGACCATGCTGCTCAGTGAGCAGTCAGTCCCAAAAGGACAAATATCATATGCTGTCAGACAGAAGGCAAAGGTCAGTAGCCCTTTCAGTACCGTTCTTGCTACATCACAACTGGTTTGGTATTTTCATTCAAAAGTTTTTATTTTCTCACTGACCGTTCACATAATAGCATCATTTGCTTCATGAAGGTCTTTGATTTTCTGTTTCTTCAGTGACACAATGGTCAGTAGCATGTTATTTAATTTCATATTGTAAATTTTCCATTTTTCTTATGGCTTTTCATTTAAGGGGATATACAGTAACTGTGTAGTAGAGACTGTCACATCCAGATGTGAAGATACAATGCAGTGTGCATCTCTACTTCCAAATCAAAGGTGGACTCCCAATGAAACTGTTGGATGCATCTTAAATAGGATGCTGGGCTCTCTGCCATTGGCCAAGCCCACAATGTCAAGATACTTAAATAGTAGAATTACAGACTTACAACTGATTATGAAGGACTATACTATTCTAATGACATGGTGGAAATTATGGGGGGTGGGACTTTGGGGAGGAGTGAAGGGAAAACCCAATGGGACAATAAAATTTTTTTAAAAGACATGTATTAAGAAAATGCTTTTTTATAGCCACTTTTGGATACACCAGGCAAAGCCATCCCATATGGGTGTTGCTCTACTTCCAGTCCAGCTCCTGGATAATGGCCTGGGTAAAGCAGTGGGCCCCTCGAACCACACAGGGGACCTGGAATGCTCTTGCCTTCATCAGGCCCAGCACTGCCCCTTGCACCCTTCCAGGGAGTGAATGACCTCTAGTTCACAGATACACAACTTCTCTGCCTGATATAACATTAAGTAAATCTTTAACTATTTGGAGAGTTTTTTGTTTTAAGTTTGAATATGGCCATGTTGAAGAATTCAGTTGATAGGGGTGGATATCTGGCTGTCTTTAAAGTGAGCACAAAAACGTTTTCCTCCCATACAAAACTTCCATTTTTTTTACAGTGTGATTTTTCACATATTAAGTAAATAGCATAAAAACCTTGTAATCAGAGATGACGTTAAACTTACCGTCCTAAAAACTGGACTTCCCCTCGATGGTGATGAGGAATAGACTTGTACTTTCCTATGTCTCCCTCTGGTCTGGTTACATTATATCCAGCATAGTGAACTCTACAATATATGGAAATGAAATAAATCTCATGTTAGAATGGATGTGAGTTAATTTTAAAATTAACAGAATATTCAAACATGTAAACTTCCAATAACTTCAGAAGACACTCAATGGGAATAAAAAGTATACAACTGAATTTGGAAGTCCCAAATTCTCCATCCTTTCATGGAATACACAAGTATGACTGTAAGTAGTTGACACTGCATCATACCTGTTCCACAGGTCGTCATCTTCTCCTCCCCAGCCCCAGAAAGCATTAGGGAAGCCATTGATCTTTCTAAATTGTTCCACTGTCAGTCCACTGACACCACCAAAAAATTCTTTATATGGAAGACTGAAAGACAAAGCAGGATACATCATTCTAAAGATGAAACTAGACACACAGGAAATCAAGTTTTCAGTCTTTGCATACCTCATGAAATACAGGTCAGCCTCCCTGGTTTCCATATAAACCATTGCTGGCCAGTTGTCTGTCAAGTACACTAACCAACAAGGATGTCTCTAGAGAAACAAGTACCTGTAAACTTACAAAATGCAAAGCGAAACATTTGTACTAGAAATGCATTCGGTGCTTTAGAAGACTCAGAACTGAGTGTTCAGAAACTGTCTAATGTTTTCACAACAAAACAAACTTTCAATGTCACTTTAGGTGTTGCTAGACATAACAATTTCATTATAAACGCATTTACTAGATAGGGCACGATAAATATAAAATAAGAAAAACTCAAACATTGAATTTTTTGAAGTGACTAGCTATTATTCCTATATAATCTTATCTGTTTATACTTTAAGTTATAGATATTTAAAAATAAGCAGTATTTAGAGAAGTAACTTAAAATTTGGATTGTTTCTAACCATTCCCTAATCCAAAATCTACGCAATCTGTCCAACCATGGAGCGCCTTTAAACTACCTCTTGACTCATCCAAATTGCTCAGATAGACTGATTTTTTGATATATAAGGGAAGCCTCCCTTGACAGGCAGTCCTTCTGTGCTTCTGGGGAGTGCCATGGCCAAGCCTGCAAGGGCCAGGGCAATGTGCAGCCGCAGCAGCATCCCAAGGGAGTCAGGCTAGCACTGCAGCAAAGCTCTCAGGAAAGAAGGAATGCACTTCATTTCCTGCCAGTGATACACACTTCACTCCCTGGCGGGAAGCAATGCTGTTTGCCCACTAGAATTGTGTGACTTTAGGAACCAGATAAACCTGCGGTGGTAGGAGTGAACAATCTTGCCTTCACCCAAGAGTAGGACAGCAATAGAAGCCTAAGGCTGCACACTCTCCAGCAGACCCCTGAGGCTCAATGCTTCAGTGACGAAATGGGCAGGGGTTGCCTGGGACCCACAACGTTCTGTGTGGGTGGGGTTCTTCCCCCACCAGCTAGGGTGGCAGGAGAAATTGAGATCACTGCACAAATATGAACATACATGACATGTCTAAGTAGGCAGGCCTATCCCTTCCACTTGCTCTTCTGTGTAAATGGAAACAACTGCACGCTGTATAGAGGGAAAGCACTTGCATCAAATGAAGGGATAATAAGGAGTTGAAACGGGAAATGACAAAGCAGGAAAGACACTCCACGTGAGGACCTGTGTGTGCCAGCCAGCAGTGGTCACAATGGGCACCACTGTGGCTGAAGCTTATGCAGGGCCCAGCCCACGCTCCTCTCTGCTGCCATTCTCCTGAGCTGTGTTCCAACTTCTACATCAACTTCCCTACACTTTCCTCCTAAGCCTGAGATTTAAACAGCAGTATTTTGTTCATAATGCATCCATATTTTCAATTATGAGGATTTTAGAACTTATATCTGCATCCTTTATGACGGTTTTTAGAAAAAAAGCAGTTACCTGGCATTTAATTAGTCTCTTATGGGCTGAAAAAAAATCATTTCCAACAGTACTCAGAACCTGACTGTGAACCTAAATGACTTCCCCCAAAGTAACTGCAGACTTGAGTTCAGAGACAACAAGAAGGTTTTGTATTGAAAATGACCATGTGTGTTGAAAATGTCCAGGTGAACACAGGAGTGAGTCTTTCATTGATGCCAATTTACCCGCTCTGGTCTTAGGTCACACATGAGGCACAACTGTGTGTGAGAAGGCAACCTACTCCCTCACCCTCTTCCACTCCGTCTGCCAATGTAAACTGTTCTTTCCCAAACTTGACCTGCTTTTCTTGGTGTCAGTGAAAGTTACTGCCACAGCTCTGATGCATGCTTACATTTTACAATATCTACAGTCTGAGAATAAAAACATTTGTTTCTTGTCCCTAAAGGACAAGTCAAGCATGCACTAACACTGCAGGAGAAGAGGGTCTCCCAGCTCCGCGCCATCCCCGGGGAAGGAGGAGGGAAGGCAGAAGGAGCCCACCCGAGGTAAGCACACACAATTGGAGGGAAACCAACCTTCAGGGGACACACAACCAGCCAAACCCTGTGATTCTCAGTGTGGGAGCCATGTGCTGGATCCTCCAGCATTCCACAAGGCACCGCTTGGGCGGGTGGCAGAGCTCTCTCCAGGATGGCACCCCAGCAGGAGGTGCTGTAGTTGACGCTCTTCAACCTCCTGAGTTAGGCTTATGCTGCTACCAGTTCAGTGCTACTCACAGAACACTGGCCAAGGACAGACTGCACTACTCACATATACATGTATTTATCCAGCTTTGCGGCAAAGTGGCGCGGCATCTCTCCACAGCCGTAGTAATTGCGGTCATTTTCTGGTAGGTGATCCACGTCATGGAAGATGATGCAGTCCCAGACACTGTCTTTCATGGCCTCTTTGAAGCCCACGTTGAAGAGCATCGCCCGGTTAAAAGGCTGTGTGCCAGTCTACACAGAGCAAACCAAAGGGAGGGACAGAAATGCTGTGTCATCCTGTTATTGTCTACATCAATGTTTAACTTGCTGGGTGTCATGGCCAAATAATTATACCCAAAACATAGATAAGTAATAGACATGTGATTTTGAAATGTAGACATTGCACACTTCACTAAATAGAAAACACGCTTACTGTCCAGTGTATTAGTATATAATCACACTTATATAATTTATATTTCTACTGTGCTTCAAATATACAAACATAGGATTAGGAAAAAAATCAAAAATACACTTATTGGTAGAAGCTTTCCATACTCCACAAAGACTGAGCTAGGCAGGAAATCGAAAGGGATTTGATGATCCTTCTATATAACAAAGCAAGAACATTTAACTTAGTAAAGTTATAATAAAGACCAAAAGCATTTGAGACGAAAAAGCAACTGACATTTCTTACACAAAAACTAGCTTTATTACAGAACAATTTTATGAGACAAGAAAATGGTGTGTGTTACAGAATCCAAACGCCTGCACTGCAACCATTTTCCTTTATTTACTACTGAAAACATTATGGTATGTGGTAATAAAAGCTTCATTCTGCGTCTAAGGAGAATATAAAAGCATTTACTGATACCTTAATATTGTTCAATCATTTCTAAGATATAAAATAAAGGAGACGCACAATGTAGTCATCACTGGAATTGTCTCAAGAACCAAAACTTTAGTCCTGGGTCTTGCACTAATTTCAGGTAACAAATCACTTTTTACAGCAAATGACATGGAGACAATAAAAAGCAAGGTGAAGATAACATTGCTGTTAACATCACCTTTGGCAAACTAAGGTTTTAAAAGTTGCCACTATTTTTTTAAATTTGGAACTTAAAGGCTTACCACGTGTAAGCCATCCCCGTCCCTCAAGAGCAGTGCAGTTCAACCCTTCTGCTCACTCTGGTGGTTATCTCCACTAGGTCGGGTCATAAGAATCCTGGGATTTCTGACTTCCTTAGCTTAAGATACTGTAGTGACTTAACAGTAATGAAAGGATTGAACCACCAAATGGACTGCTGCTACTCTAATACAATCAGGTCCTAATTTTTGGTTAAATAGTTCATTAGAATTAACTAACTATTCCTTTGGGACTCAGTAAATTTTTTGTTTTCCTTCTCAAACTGGGATGAACTACAGTTCTATATAGCTTGCCTGACAGATATGCCCGAAATTGACTGACACCTGATACAAACTATCCAAGCATATCAGCTGTTGATGTCCTCCTCATTGGCCAGGCCCACTTTCCACCACTATCCTCTCTTGCTCCACCCTGAGCTGCTTCTCTGCAGACCTCCCTGAGTCCCCAAGGACTACTTCACACCTCAGACCAGCCGTGTCTGTCAGGGTGCTGCCTGACCCTCAAGGCCCATAGAAGCCATTTTTAGCGTGTGCATGACTGTGCTACACAATACCTTCTCATACTCATTCCACAATTTGGATTAAAAAAAATTCCAGAATGAAAATTACTTTTCCTTGGGGGTACGCATTTGCCCTATCAATTGGGACATCTGTATCCCATAATACCTGCATGCCCCATCAGTTTTTGGACTCCAGTCCCTGCTCTACTTTTCAATGGAAGATTCCTGCTGTAATGAGCATACAGTCTGAGAGCCGAAGGTGATGGCTCAAGCATCCCCCACACGCGAGTAGTGGATTAAAGGCTATCTTTGAGCTGCTCTCGTCCAATTCTATTTTACTCCTAATTTCATATGCAAGAATATTTTTTTCTGTCCTTTCCATACTCATTAAATCGGGACTATGATATCCTGATTCTTTCTAAAAGACTTCCTTTGTTCCTCCTCCATCATCTTTACTCCCACCTTTTTTTATGTTTGATTTTGTGTCTTATGGAGGATCCCTTCAAATTCCCTGGGAATCCTTGGAACAGGTAATATGGCACAGCAGGCTAAACCACAGTCAATTATGTCAGCAAACCACTGGTTTGTGCCCTGACTATTCCACTTCTTATCCAGTTCCCTGCTCTTGGCCTTGGAAAGCAGCATAAGACAGCCCTATCTGGGCTGCTGCCACCCGGGTGGGAAACCCAGATGAGTCTGGCTCCAGTCTGCTCCAGCACTCCCAGGCGTTGCAGCCTTCTGGGGAAATTAACCAGCAGAAGGAAATGCTCCCTCCATCTCTGTTAAACCCTGATTTAACAAAACGAACAAAATCATTAGGAAAAGACCCAATGATCGTGACTACCTATGCACCTGTTGGAAGACACTATTGCTGAGCGAATATCCTCGTAAGAAAGCAGGAGGTATGGTAAGGCACTTTAGACACACTGATAACAATATAGCTCATCCAGTGTTCTACAAGTACATAGTTCTGGAAATGGCAGTGCCGTTGATCATTCAAGCCAAAAGCCTAACGTTGATGCTTGACCTGCACCACTCATCTCTCCTATCCCATTCATCAGCAGAACACACAGCTTGGCTCTTAAAACCAACCACTGCTCACCTGCTGCCCAACTCAGCAGTCTGAATAACTGCATTCCTGGTTTCTGCTTCTGCCCCATTTTTTTTTTTTACTGAGTTAAGCTGAGTCATTCCTCTACTCAAAACCCTCCAGCATCCCTGTCTCATTCCATTTCTCTGGTTTCCTCCCTGGTGTCCTCACCAAACCCTCTACTCCAACATGGCTATGGTTCTCCTGTCCACCCAGAGCACAGTGCCCTGACAGTGGTGTGGCTAGATCCTCTGTGTCACTCCAGGCTGCTCTGACCTCCCCATGGAAAGACCTTCCCCATGGGGAAGTGCTCAGTATAACAGCACTCTCTCTGCCCTCCCTTTGCCCTGAGATCTACCTGACAGATCATGTCATTATTTATCATCCATTTCCTTAACAGACAGGAGGCAGCCTTCTCATGTCTGTTCACCACATGAACCCCTTGACTGAATGAACAAAAGCAAGCTGCAGCGGGGTGGCAAGTGAGGAATCAGCTTTTCCTTAGAGACAGAGATCTCTAAATACTAGATCTAGAGACTTCCCCAAGGGCTAATCTGTCTAAAGACAGCACCACTCACCACTTACCACAGGTGGGGGCTGAGGTACTTCACATCAGGAGAGCTGCCTTCAAAACGCCAGACAGGAGATGGTCTGAGGGTCCCCTAGGGTCAGCAAGCAGGAGCACTGGGCCCCCTCTCCCCACCGGGTCCTTAGGCTCATGGCACTGCTGTGTGCACAGTCAGGACTGGGTCCAGCACACAACAGAGTGACTACCCAGCAACACACGCAAAGATGAAGAAGTGGGGATCAGACTGACAAAGTTTGATTATGAAAGAATTCCCTTGGTGTAGCCCATTTGGCATCCTGCTGGGCCAGCTTTCAAGTGCTGAGATGTGCAATCAACTGCAGAGTCGCCCAATATGAACACAAGGGCCTAGATGAGCAGCTCTGCTAAGCAGCTGCCCTCCCCCACTGCCCCATCCCACCCTACTCCTGAACTTCCACAATGTACTGCAGTGTCTCACCCACTACCCTCTTTTTTCCTTGTGGTTTAGTAACTTAGCTTTCTTTCATCTTATTTTAGGAGTCTGGAAAGGCGAAAATATAAATCCATGCATACTCCTCCACGGTTAACCAGGATGTCTGAGCTGCTCTTCAATGGCTTCACACTTCTCCAGGCATTCCTCCAGCAGAAAAACTACTCTATTTCACAGTGATCAAGACTGAGATTCAGATGTAATAGGCTTAAAAATAAAAATATGGGTCCTAGTGACACTACCAAGACTTCAGCACCGCTGAATGTATGCAGGCAATGTGGAACTTTCAAGAGAATATGCCTTGCAAAGAGAGCACTCCTCTCCCCACATATAAAGGGAATTCAACTTTCAAAAACCACCTGGCAGTTAGTAGAAGTGACCTAGAAAGCTGTAATTATGGCTATCACGACAGACGCTAAAATTTGTTATCAGATTTAGAAAGGTCAATTTCCATATGCCCTATAAACATCAGTATATGCACAGGACATAAAACTTAAACACAAACAGATGCTACATTAAATACCAAGTGTTTTCAGGGGGAAAAAGCAAAGCAAAAAGCTAAGAGGGAGAAATTCTTTCACACAGGCATATCCAGAATACACTACAAAGAAATTGGAGAAAAATGTTAATCACTCTTAAGAATAAAACTGAACACTTTCTACCAATAAGAAGTAGGCACATCTAAAAACAAAGGCTAGGTCACTATTCTGCTATTTACCTACTGACAAGAAATAAATCCTATTACACTTTTTGGGTAAAAAAAGATTCAACAGCATGAAACGGACTAAAAATAGACTCATATCCAGGTGACACAAATAATTCAGTAAAGAAGAATCTTTGATAAATGATCACGGTACAACTCCCAGCCATAAGCAAAAAACAACCCAAAAAAACTTTACTCTTACTTCATACCTCTTACAAACATTAACTCAAAAAGGATTAGACAAACTTAAGATCTAAAAACTGAAGTTCAATAAAATTAAAAATGTTTCAAAAGACTATCAAGAAAACAAAAGCATACACCCATACTGAAGGTAAATGTTTGCAAAACTATTTTACAGAATACTTGTCTCAAAGAACCTTAAAAACTCATTTAAATAACAGCCCAATTTAAAAATGGGCAAAAGATTAATAGAAACTACCAACTAGATTTCATGGAAAGCAAATGTATGAAAGATGACTGCCATCCTTAATCATTAGGGAAATATATTTTAACAAAAACACAATAAGTACTAGAGACCCTTTAAACTGGCTAATATTAAAAATTACCATACCCAATGTTGGTATACAGCACTCGGAAAAGTTGGTACACAAATGAAGTCACTGTTTCCCACCCAATACAAAAACGGACTCAATTCAAGACGTAATTCTACCCAACTATGAAAGCAAGGATCAGAGTTTCTGGATAATTTTTAACACTAAATATTTTAATTAAACTATGAGCGTAAGATCTAGGGAAGGGTTAAGACCCTTGTGTCCCACATTGGACTGCCTCGACTTGATACCCAGCTATGGCTTCTGACTTCAGTTTCCCACCTGAAAAGACCCTGCAAGACAGCAGCGTTGGCTCAAGCCAGTAGGCCCTCAATACCATGTGAAAGGGCCAGACAGCATCCCAACCCAGCCCAGGGGCTGCTGTGATCCTTAAGGTAAGGAACTAGCAGATGGACCTTTCTACCTTCTCTCAGTGCTTTCCAACTTTTTAAGTTCTAGAAGACTTTTGAATCTCTTGGAAAAAAATATTCTCACCTGTTCAATGACGTAAAAGGCAAATTCCAGACGCTGTTTCTGGAGCATTGGAATGAGGTGCAAGAAAAAAATTGGAAGATGTTCATGGCGATTACGAAAAGGAATGAGAACTGCCACCTTGAAAACAAAGCAATCACATGTAAGTAAATGCACAAGCAAATCCTGCAGGTAGATATAAAAAAATTCTCGAAAACTATTGATGGTGGGCCCGGCGCCATGCCTTAGCAGCTAAAGTCCTCGCCTTGAACGCGCTGGGATCCCATATGTCCCATATGGGCACCAGTTCTAATCCCGGCAGCCCTGCTTCCCATCCAACTCCCTGCTTGTGGCCTGGGAAAGCAGTTGAGGATGGCCCAAAGCTTTGGGACCCTGCACCCATGTGGGAGACCTGGAAGAAGTTCCTGGATCCTGGCTTCAGATCGGCATAGTGAATCATCGGATGGAAGATCTTCCTCTCTGTCTCTCCTCCTCTCTGGATATCTGCCTTTCCAATAAAAATAAATAAATCTTTTAAAAAACTATTGATGGCATCCAAGTCCTACCCTTTTGGATGTTCTCACCACAGATTTGCTGCTATGATCTTGTGGGGCTGTGGAGGTATAAACAGGCCTGGAAGGCCAGTGTAAGGATTATGGTTTTTATCCTATGAACATTGTGCATGGGAAACTATTGATACATTATTAAAACATGAAAAGCCAGATTTTCTGATTACAGAGAATTGCAGTAGGAGTATGGCGAGTAGACTGGGAAGACCAAAATGCACACGGGGAGCTGACTGGGAAATTTGGGCAACTTCTAATGGAAGCTTCAACTAAGGTGAGGCAGAGAAAAGAGGCATGAGGATTTTCAAGCACATTAAGAGGTACAGTGTCAGAAGGTACAGAACTTGGAGCTTTTAAAGTAGATTACAATGAATAACTTTCTCAATTTTAAATTGGATTTAACATTTGGTTCCTGTCACGCATTTGGCAGACCTGGGTTGAGTTCCTGGCCTCTACTCCAGCCCTGACAAACATTCAAGGAGTGAACCAGCGGATGGAGCACTCAAAGTCACATTTCCACATCTACAATAACTTCCTATCTGATGAGTGACAGAAGTAAAAAGGGAAAAAGTCCAACATGATGCTTGGAACGATTGCAGATCTGCCCCACAAAATAACTCTTGGTTTAGGTGTCTGAGGAATCCTGAGGCTTCCACAGTGACAGTTCAACATCCAGGACTCCTCCACCACCACCACGAAGCAAGGATTTTCCGAGTGAGTAGGATCTTGCCTGTTGGGCCTCATTGTTGAATATGCCCATAGTTAAAATATTCAAAGAATTTCCAAATGAATACAGTTGCCAAACAAACTCACGGATCCCTAGGTTTGCTCAGGGGACTTGTGAAACGTAAAGGGTCAGCAAGGTCCAACAAAGGCAAGAACATCCACCTACCATGCACTTCACCTGAACAGCATCAGTGTGAAGACTTCTAGAAAATAAGGATTAAATTTACCCTTCCTAGCTTTATATTTAGCCATAAGTTTGCCACCTATGACAATGGCAGCAAACAAGTATTTAAAGCTGTTTAATGGCTATAGCATCCAGGTTAAAGGCAACTCTTATTAACTACATACAACAAGACTGAATGATGTATTTAACATCATAAGCATAAACCAAGCCAAAATCATAGACCCTAATACTATTCTATCCTCAATGAACCATTTAAAAGATTATTTTTTGCTTAAACAGGGAAACTGAAAATGTTATAAGAAAATAATTACCAATGTCTTGGAAAATCTAGAAAGGTTGAAATTACATTATAATAATCAATGTCTAAAATTTAATGAGACATTATCAAAGATGTTGAACGCACATAAATATCTTAAAATTTCATTGTCCATGCTACTTCTTTTGACTACAGAATGACATTCCTAATAGTTTTTAATTTATTGCTGAGGAAAAGAAGATCTCAGCATTCTGCAGTCACTTGTTTTTCAGTTTAATAGCCTTCATTTTAGGACTTTCTTTTACATGCCCTGATTTTCTATTTGAGCCATTCCTCTTTAATGCATCTCTCGTGGAACATCTGGTCATTATCTTCTGAAAAATCCATATTTCATCTTGCTGAATCTCTCCTTGCTGCCACTTGTTCAAGCAAAATCCTCATCACAGCTTCCACTTCAAAATCTTACTGAATTTATGTGTATTTTCCATGCTTATTTTCTACACATACCATAAGGGGAGATCAAGAAAAATGCTTACCACAGAAATTTTCCACTGACATTTTTGTCTCGCTTTTAAATTACACACATCCTAACAGCTACAGTGTCCGTCCCTAAGTGGCACAGCCTTGGGTTTAGCTATTTCAGGTGCACCTGGCCATTAGCCACTTAATCCAAATAAAACAAGTTAGTTCTATCCAGTCTTCCTTCTACAGATTGAGATTCCATCCTTACCTATGGAATCAGAACATCTGGCTCTATGGAATACCTCGCTGGGCGCAATAGCTCAGTGGCTAAATCCTCATCTTGCATGCACCAGGATCCCACTTGGGCATTGGTTTGTGTCCTGGCTACGCCACTTTCCATTTAGCTCCCTTGCCTGTGCGATCCTGCACCCACGCAGAAGACTCAGAAGCAGCTCCTGGCTCCTGTTTATCTCAGCTTCTGCAACTGCAGCCACTTAGGGAGTGAACCAGCAAATGGAAGGTCTTTCTCTTTGTCTCCTTCTCTGTGTAAATCTGCCTTTCCAATAAAAATAATATTAAAAATAACACCCTGTGGAATACTATAGCCATAAAAGAATGAAACCTTGCCATTTGCAACAAAATGGTCCTAACTGGAGACCATTATGCAGTGAAATAAGTCAGTCCCTAAAACAGAAATTTATGTTCTGATATAACCTTCATGCAAAATACAAAATAGATTTATAGATAACCAAGTATGTGCATATAATCCAATAGAGAAGCTACATAATTGAGACTAGCATACCAGGACATAAAAGGAGGACTCCCAATGAAACAGTTAAATATACCTTGAAAGTATGATATTAGATTTTCTACCTTTGCCTAAACCTTCATTTCCATGGTACACTTACGTAGCAGAATGTCAGACTTGTAATTGTTACTCAAGGACTACACTGCTGTGATAATACAGGAGGAAATACCAGGAGGGAAAAATGAGGACTCCCGATGCCTACAAAACTGTATCATGGAAAATAATAATTTAACAATCTGGTAATTCTCAAACAAGTGGCTAAGACACTTCACTGAGGAACCTGGAACTGGAAAAGGAACTGAAGGCCTAAGAATAACAGCATCAGGAATGCTGGGTCAGATGAGTCTACAGGCTTTAGCTAGCTAGGACTTCAAGCCCTCTACCTGAACCCTAAGTGTCACCATCACCAGGTAATGACCTGAAAAACATCACTTGACTCCCTTCTCCCTCCCTTATGCCAGTTCGCTCCTTTGTTCCCAACCTCTGCTGAAAACTTCCATTTAAGCCCAAAGAATTTGAGAGTACCTGAGATTGCCCAAAACAACAGCTGTAAAAGAGCTCAACTCTATTTAGTTATCAATTAACTTGGTATTTTTTTTTCATTTAAATAAAGAGCCTCAAATATTAAGATATTGGCAGATGTTTTACATAAATTATTTATTTGCCTGTCAACTGCAACTGAATACTCAACAGATCATTAGCATGTTAACAGGAAAGGCGGGGCATGGGGAGAAATAATCAAATAGGGTGAACACAGCTCATTTCTAAAGAGATCCACAATTTTGCTCATACCTTTAGCTGCACATCTCAGAACTAAAACTTCTGAGATTTTGTTAAAAGCGGAAATAAAAGCATTATCCCGTAATACATAAATAAAACCTGCTAATTTTAAAATCCCTGAATTAGCTTTCTCCTTGGAACTCCTCGCAAGATTGTCTTTGTCTGTTTCACCAGAAGTTTATAACTCTAAATATTTCTAAATAGGAGCTACTGCGTGCTACCCCACTATCACCCAGAAAATAACAAATTATAAAACGTTAAGTCTGCCTACCATCAACTGTTCAAAAAACAATACTTAAGTTTGCTGAGGGGTATGCTCTGTCATTTAAGTGTACTTCAAAAATTTCATGAAAAAGCAACTCCAAAAATATAGAAATAACAGATACTTTTATAAAATCCAAAAATATTTTGAGATCTAAGGATAAAGTTTCATGGAAAATATGTATTATGAAAAAACTGCATAGCTTTCAAAAATGATTTGCACCAAAATAAATGCATCTTCATTTCCTTAAACTTTATGGAGTCCCCTGACACACAGGCTGCCCCACAGCCATCAGGACTCCTTTTTCTTCTATTAACATTCCACACAGGACCTAAGAAATACAAATATTTTGTTTCCTCAGGATACCTTTAAACACTGAAATGTGTGTATTTGAGCCATCATCTACATAGATACAAATGTGAGGAAAATCAAACTAATTATGAAAAGATTCAGTTATTAAATGACTCTGATCTTGGAAAGAGCATAAGGCAATTAGAAAACAGCACAGTTTGCTAAAATGTATACTGAAACCCATTTAAGCAGCTTTGCAGCTTGTCTGAAGCAATGAGAAAGCTGAACGTTTATTTAATCACTTGTAACAAGGCCAAAAGTCATTTGTCTCATAAAGTCAATTCAACAAAATTGTGTGTGGGGCTTACACATACAAGACAGTGTGCTCTGCCCTGGGGATGCAGATGTAAATTATACACAACCTCAATAAGGAGTTCAAGGTCAATGAATTCAAAGGCTTTTTGCAGGAGTGTCATGGCATGTAATGCTCCTTCGTACCAATGTCATTGGTACAAACAAATATGTTAGACAATCAGGCTTTTAAAAGAGAAACTGAAAACTATGTTCAGATTAGGTTATAGCACAAGTCTTAGGCAACAATATCCGATTTAATCATTCGTAGTTTTCGTCTGATATAAACGCTATTTATTACTCAAACACGACAAGGATATGCACTTCTCCCATGTCAGAGCAGACAGTGGCTCGGGTTTGAACCAATTTCCTTAAAGCAGCAGAGGCGGAGCCACCCACTGAGTTTCTCAAACTGTACACTGAGTGGAATTCTGACGCCTCCGGAAGGCTTGTCCTCTGCCTGCTGAGATGGGGTGAAGAGCCCAGACTTTTCCCTTCTGAGGCCTTCAAGCAGTCACTTTAGCCTTACTGGACTCAGGAGCAGACCTGCACAATGCCAATGCCAAACCCAGCTGAAACAGCATGATATTAATATCACCTCGTGAACTCTCAGGATTCCAGAAATTGATGGACATCAGCAGTCATCTCCAGCACACACACCAAAGCCAAAGAACACAGACTTGCTTACTACAGAAGAAAAAAATCTGTTGCCTAAACCAAACTCAGGTTACACATTTCTTATCAGGAATGCCAGGCAATTGAACGCATAGCATATATACGGGTACACCATGAATGCAATTACAATCTTCACAAGTATCACCGTGAAATCTCATTCAGACCATAAACACCTATGCATTCGATAATAAATTCCACAAGATTTTAAAGCATTTTATTCTGCAATTTGAGTCATGCACTTTTTCCCTCAAAGGCATAGCAGTGAGTCACAATATTATTATATTAAAAAAAAAGAAACTTCCTCACCTTCCATCTGGGCTTACAGTCTTTAGGCCTCCAGTGCCCTCCTGGCTCAATATCTAAATCCTTGGAGAAGAGTTGATGAATTTCATCAAAACTGACTTCACTTACATTAACACTGAGAAATCCCCCTAGAAGGAAAAAAAAAAGTCAATAACTTTTAACTTTTTCCTCTAAAAATGCATGTAGGACAAACATTCAGCCAGGTAATGGCATAACTTAGTTGTCAAGACCAGTTTCTGTTCTCACCATTCAGTAATTAATAGGAACACTTTTCCCTGTTAAGTAATTTATATGATTACCTTATTGCCCCCATCTGGTAAAGAAAATATAATTCTCATCTAAACACTTACTTTGGAGTAATGCAATGAATATATTAATTGGAAAGTACTTACATACATCGTAACTTTGCAAATCATTGCAATCAAATATTCAAGTATGTTTAAACAATTTTTAATGTCAACATTTTTAATGTGTGGAATATGAAGGCACAGTATTTAATGTTGACTGGAACTTGAATCTATCTTCTACTAAAGAAATGATTTGGCCTCCCTCTGTCTGAGCTTCCTCCTCCGTACAACAGGACGGCAAGGCCTGCCTCTGAAGGTGGTGGTCACTATGAGACAGCCACAGCCAGTCCATCACACACATGTACTTTGCAACTTCACATGTAAAATCTCGGAGGAAACAAACCCTGCACGTATACTGAACATGTATGAACATTTTTGTCATTATTTCCTAAACAATATGGTACAGCAACTATTCATATAATCTTTATTCTGTACTACATGCTATATTTGGTATTACAAGTAATCTAAAGTTTACAAAAGGATGAAATTGTCTATATGCAAACACTGTGTGCCCTTTTACACAAGACCCTTGATCATTCTCAGATTGGGGGTGCAGCAGGGTTTGGAATCAATTCCCTGTGGACACCAGGGACAACAGTAGTTTGTGTGAAGGATGCAGTACTAGCTTGCTAGGCACCAGGTACGCTCCAAGATTAGCTACTAATGCAGTCATTTCTTTCAGAGTAGCACTTTACAAATGCAATTCAACACATTAATTTTAAGCATTTATGATGTTATCAGGCCCCTTGGTGTATAAAACTGAAAAGCCACCAACTTCTGAGTTCCTGGTTTGACATTCACTTTGTAAATGAACAAATGTATGATCTTATTACATGAACTTTTACTAACAGTTTTCCCCTGAAATACAAATGAGTCTTGGAAAACCAAGTCTGTCAGCCCAAAAACAGAACTGAGAATCAGGAAGTGTCTCTAGCTTTACCTGAGAGGTCTCCTCAAAGCAATGCTGTCAGCGCTTTCAATGAGACCACCACAGGAAATGCTGGAACTAAACTACAGTTCATCTTTTAGCAGGCTAAAGTCACATACAAAGTGCTCCGGAATACTCCCTAGCCAAATTCTCTCACCTCCTCATTTCATAAAACACAAAGCAAAGAAGGTTGAAGTTCCCCATTTCAAGTCTTTTGAACCTCTCATGGCCACATCTTTACACATAAAACACTCAGTTCCTCTTTGGCCAGCCCATTTCGTCCTGCTATTGGATGTTGGGTAAGGTTTTCACAGTGGCCTGCCTTCCCATCTTAAGTCAGCTTCACCCAAAGGAAGGGGAAAGCTTTGAATTTGCAGAGAATGGGTGAGTCAAAAGTAAGGCTGATCAGTCATCCTAAACACAGACTATCATGATTCAGCTGACAAAAACAGAATCAAGAACTATAATCAAATAAAAGCCACACAAATGGATCTGATGCATTTAATACTGCACATGATTGCAGAGATGATAGTAATTAAGCTAAATAATAAGCAGTTCATGTAAGTAACCAAAGTTGGTGCTCCTCATGTACTGTTAGGCCAATTTTTTTTTGTTTGGTTTTTTTCCAGCTTTATTGCTTCCAAGGCTGTAATCATCATTATTGTCAGCAGTTTTCTTCAGCAGTATTTGCAGTTTAATCTCCTTCTCCACTGCACATGCACAGACAAAGTAAGACAGAAGCCTTCTGTCCTTTTCTTTAATGAAGGGACTCCCCGGCTCATCCCTGTCCCTAATGCCTGAGGCACTTAAGTGTGCCTTCCTCCTGATAGCCCCCAGCTCCACCTACACCTGCCACAATCCCTCGGGTGCCTAGTGCTCCAGGCTCTGAAATCCTCATATCCTACTGGCTGAGGGACAAATGTGCCCCAAGGGCAGGGGGTTGCCTGACCAGCTGGAAAACATTACTGGGGTGAGAAAGTGGAATGGAAAACAAGCCTGGGGGGCAGGCGCCTAATACCTCTGGGAACAATAAAAGTGATCAGAGAGTTCGGGAGAAGATCCCACACAGAGGCAGGGAAGTAGAAAAGGAATGGTACAGAAGAGAAGCCAGAAACAAATGGAAAGAACCTCTCCAGGAGCCCATGGCTGGGAGACAGAGGACTTTCATCTTTCCTCAACACCATGTTCACCTCTTTTAAATACTGGGCGTCCTCTTCACATTTTATCCAGGAACATTTTTCAGAGATTTTGTTTTGTTTTAAAGCATCTGAAACCACTTGTTGTGAACAAACTCAGGAATACCCCTCCTCATTTGCACAGGAGGAAGCCTTCAGCCACGGCAGCCCTCTTAGTTCACTAGCTGAGATTTCCAGGGCACCTGAACATATGGACTAAAATTCATGCACTGACAGCAAAATAGGTAATAATTGACCACAGGCTGCACCTCGCTATTTTGAAAGTAAGCCTCAAGTTAGGACAGAAAGATTAGGAGACCCAAGTGTATGGGAAGAGGTGCTGCCAGTTGCCTGAAGGGTGAAGGTGAGGAGTAACAAACGGCCCATTGCAGCTACCATCCAGTCCAGGCAACCAAGGTTATGTGGCAAGCCACTGAAACCCCCTGCCCCCATACCCACAAGGAAGGGTCTCTTGACACCCCAGGGAACATCTGGAGCCTCAGCATGCCCTGCATGCACACATATATATATATATACCAACACTGCTTACTGCTGTGCACACATACTTGATACGAAGTTAATTTGTGAACCAGACACCGTAAAAGATATGCAACCATAACTGATCATTAGAATATTACAGCAAAGCATTTTAATAAAAGTAATTTAAAAGGAACTGTTGATGTCTAGAATTTTCCATTTAATATTCTTACACCTTAGTTAACTGAAACCATGGAAGCTGTTGATGAGGGACTTCTCTGCTGCCGCTATGTGAGAAGAACTAAAGCTGCACCACAGCTGATGCCAGACACCATCCCTCCTGAAGGCTGGTCTGCAAGGCTGGCAGCGATACCTCCACTGGGGGCAACTGGACCCAGAAGGGCCTGGGGTCCCTTAATTTTGCATAGGCCCAAACAACTGGCTTATGATAGTGTGGATTACAATGTAATTACATGACAATGTAATTACTCTGTAATTACACGACATGACTTAGGATGTTATCTACTAAAATATAATTCTCCACACAACAAATATATTCAATACACATGAATTATCCAGACTTATATTTTTCTCATATTTCATGTAAAATTTAAGGTGGAAAGTTATTTTCTCTGTAAATCATTCACTTTGGAGCCTCCATCTATTCTTTGATATCTAAAACCTAATTCTGGAGGCTCCAGCTTTTGTCACTGCTTTACCTGCAAAATTTTTAATGTGCACAGTCCATAACTTTGATGGTAGTGAGAAAGACCTGGATTTTTCCCTAGAAACACCCCTTTGGATGAATTCACCTCCAAAACCAGAAAAATGTTCATGATACAGTGACACGTTCCCCCAACTCCCTGACCTGCCTCCCGACTGTGTGCACCCAGAGAACATCTCTGAGGTCGAACAGTCATGTCATCGAGGTGCCCTTTGAAGTCAACACCAGATACTGCTTACTTCAAATGCCTTAAATATCCTGACTTCTAGGATTCTATAACCTTCACTTAACAAACAATTTCTTACTTAACTATTCTTTAAGCAACAAAACCCCGAGCTCTCTAAATACAGAATGCTTCCTAATCACACACCCTCAATGCCAAAAGCAGTGTCTAGACACTGGATGAATGAAGGAATGAACAGAAATGACACAGTTGACTATGTCCCCACCTACCTACCTACATCTTCCACTCGCTGGCTCCCTCAGGTGCTAACACAGGTCTCTAAGACCTCTGCACTCCCTTGCAGATGACCCAAATAACAGCTCCAATTTCTTGTCTGCTAATCTGGTCTTAAGACCCAGTTCTTAGCACCTATTTCCCTCCTTTGCTTATGTAAATCTCTTGATTTACTCTGAATGATAAATATAGCTTCCACCTAACAGTCTCTGCTCTCTGTTCCAAGCTTTGTCTTGTAATCTACCTAATGAACCCTAGATCCACTCTTGGGAACCTCCTATCCTTCTATCCTTCCTAACATTCTTGCAAACTGCTATAATACTGCCTGGCTACTGGTAAGCTGACACACTCCTCTGAAGGCATAGCCATAGTTTCTGTGACTACATTTCTTGAATTCTGAAATGCTCATTCACTCAATCATGTTTTAGTATGCTGACAAAGGAACATCCCCTACAACATGTACATTGTCTTGTTTCCAAAGAACCACTATAAGATTAACTATGTCAAGAAAACATGGTTATTCAAAAAGTCTTTCTGGCCTTTTCACGCATGCTTTCTGGAACCATTCAAAACCAAGAACATCCTGTATTTATTGCACCTCACTTATCTTTTCAAGAATAACATTTCCACCACTACCAACTTTTCATCTTAAGGAAGTAGTATCCTTTCTTTCAAACTGTGCTAGGTAACAAGTGCTCACTTTCCTAGGTGCATAATCTTGGAGCTGGGCATCAAAGAGGCATTCTTCATTCTCACACCCACACCTGCCAAATCACCATCTGCATTACTCAGGAATTCACCTTGTTTGCAGCGTAGGGCTTGCAGCCATACCACCTTCCAATTTCCAGTCCTGCTCCCTTACAGCTGCCTTCCCTCCCTGTATTTCATCACTGCACACCCAGATCTGTTTCCATACCCTAATAACACAGACCCCTGCAGCTGACAGGCTTTTGACCTTAACATGACACCTTCTCTTTCAAACCTCAGTCCCCTCATTTACCTCTCACAGAGTCCCTCTCC